GAGAGAGAGAGAGAGAGAGAGAGAGAGAGAGAGAGAGAGAGAAAGACCAGGTCCAGTAAGTCAACATTAGTTAGTCTGGCGTCTCAGTCAGGAGATTCAGTCAAGATGATATAGACTTTAGGTGGAGAATATACATTAACCACATCACCACTAAGCTATTTAACAGATGTATTATGCAGACTGTAGCCCCTTGAGGACCAACAAAGAATGTACAAATCATCTCGGCATAAATTTTTGCAGGCCCATTGAGTTGGGCAGAAGAGAGTTGAGTTTGGTCTGGTCAGAAACATGAATCTTTGTTTCTTTGACATCCAGTCACAACTTTCATCTTGCATCAGCATACTTTTTATTGATGTTTTGTTTTTCTATTACCATTATTTCCAACTACATCCCTCCCTGGTCCCCTACCCAGGAAGTCATCCTTGTAACAAAGAATTAAAAAAGAGAAAGAAAAAAAAAATTTGTTCCGTATAACCACCCAACCAACACGTCAACTTTTCTGGCAGTACATGTAATATTCTATGCCCATAGTCTCCCATTTCTGCAAAGAAGGGAGCGAGAAACATTTTATCAACTCTTTTCCATAAGCATTGATCGTCTTTGAAAATGTCATCATGAATCATCTCTTACGAACCTCAGAACATTCATGAAAGGTAGGTAGGTAGAGCAGGTAAAATTACCCCTATTTTATAGACAAGAATACTGAAGTCCAGAGGCCAAGTGACTTGTCTACATTCATGCAATTAGTACCAGAGCAGGAAATATGCATCCAGGGTTTCTATTCCAAGCCTGGCAACAATAATAAACCTTTCTTAAGAGTCCATTTTGGGAAGAGGACTGATCATTGCCCTAGTGGGGCAGCTAGGTGGAGCAGTAAATAGAGTTCAGTCCTGGAGTCAGGAAGACCTGAGTTCAGATTTGACCTCAGACACTTTCTAGCTTGTGTGACCCTGGACAAGTTACTTAACTTCTGTTTGCCTCAGTTTCCTCAACTATAAAATGGGGATCATAATGTCATAGGGTTGTGGGGAAGATCAAACAAGATAATATTTGTAAAGGGCTTAGCATAATGCAAGCACACAGTAGGCACTTAATAAATGCTTATTCTTCCCCTCCCTGATAGAACTTATTGTTTGATAGGCAAATAAGACACAACATAGATAATATTACGTGACAGACATTTGACAGAAAATGAGTTAATGCTCTTCCCCTAGACTTAATCATAGAACTTGATTTTGCAGCTAGCTATACCTAATTAACTTTGGACAGTCAACATTCAATACAGCAGAGAAGCCTGAAACGCCAACTCTCCCATAGCATCATTCATTATAGGCATGCTAGCCATTTAACTTTGGCATTCTCAGGGATTGATAGTAAGTCATATCTTTGGTTTCAGTAATGAAACCATTTACCTTGAACTCCGGTCAGAGTCAGGAAGATGATTCCCCAAAGAAAGACAAGATGGCCACTCTTCATATTGGTGACTATATTCCTCACAAGTGGGACTTCAAAGCTAAAGAGTTTCTCCTGGGCCTGATATTTATCTAGGAAAGCTTCTTCCTTCATTAACACTGGTTGGTTATTTATTCAGATGATCCAGCTAAGTTTATCATATGTTTCATTATTGTAGGGGAAATCCTGAACCACAGATCCCAGGGAATTTCTTCTGTGTACTCTGCTTCTCTTTCACATAAATGGGTAGTTTATAGTAAGGGAGGTGAAACTAAATTGGAGAATTCTTTGCTGCTCACTCTGATGAAGAAGTTGATTATAGTTCCTATAGCTGTTGTGCCACAGAATGTTTTTGGATGAAAAAAAAGGTTCCCTCACAGAGAAGTGAGACACCTTTCTTACCCTATTAAAATGGTTTTTGTGTACTCTGGCTCTTGGGTAAATAGTGGGCTGGATTGCATCTGGGAAATTGCAGCATGCTTTCCTATGCTTCTACCTGAAAAGATTCATGTTTTTGATATTAATATTTTTCTTGCAATGCTTCTTGGCTATGGGCTTAAGATATCACAGTCTCTGGAGAAATACAGTTGCATGTCATCTAAAGGGTGAAGAGTAGTAGACATGAATAGAGCCATAACATTTTACCAATAAAGGATTTTATGGAAGTGATGTAAAGGGTATCGTGTGTGAGATATGGGATCAAAAAGAGTCATTCAGTGATAGCAAAAGATAACAGACAGAGAGCCCATGCACTCTGTTGGCTAGGTAAGCTGTGACCTTGATTTCTAGATGCAGTGGCAGTGGGGTGGTGCAAGGCATAGAGTGAAGGATTTGAGAGTGTCAGGATAGACCTGAGTTCCAATCTTGCCTCTAATATTTATTTACTGGTTGTGTGACCCTGGGCAAGTCACCCCTCCTCTCTCTCAGCCTCAGTTTCCTCCTCTGTAAAATGGGGATAATGATAGCCTGCACCTCCCAAGGTGGTTGTGAGGATCAAAGGAGATAACGTATGGAAAGTGCTTTGTAAACCTTACAAAGCTATATAAACGCTACTACTATTAATCAGTGTTCTAAGCAAGCCCCTTTGAGGGATTGTCAGTTGGGCAGGTGCTGTCTGAGCATGCCCAAGTGTCTGGCTCAGTTAGGGCAAGGTACACCAGGAAGGAGGTGTCAGCTGGGCTGAGACAACTGAGCATGCCCAGAAGCTCCCCGGAGGGGCAAGTGTCAGTGGGGGAGGCCGACTGAGCATGCCCAGAAGCTCCCTGGGGGCAAGTGTCAGTGGGGGAGGTCGACTGAGCATGCCCAGAGGGCCCCAGGGGGCAAGTGTCAGTCAGGCAGAGGCAGACTGAGCATGCCCAGAAGAGCCCCAGGAGGCAGATGTGTTAGGTGGAGATAGACTGAGCATGCCCAGAAGCTCCCTGGGGGCAAGTGTTAGTGGGGGAGGTCGACTGAACATGCCCAGAGGGCCCCAGGGGGTAAGTGTCAGTCAGGCAGAGGCAGACCGAGCATGCCCAGAAGCACTTCTGGAGGTAATTGTCAGTCTGGCTAGGGCAGACTGAGCATGCCCAGAAGGCCCCAGGCGGCAAGGCTGACTGAGCGTGCTCAAAAATGACTCAAGAAACTTCCAGAAGCTCGAGGTTGGGCCGGCTGCCGGGAGGGGAAAGGTCAGGCCAGGCCGTCCTTCTAGAAAGACAGCGGGGCAAGAACGGGGGAGAGGTGTCACTGAAGATCCCGTAGGCCTTGGGGCAAACAAAGGCCCCCTCCCCCGCTTCACCCCTCCCCCCCAGGGACAGATGGGACCTTCCAGCACCCGGTGGGTGTACCAGTCAAGTGCTCATTGGGCCAAAGTGGAGATTTTGTTTGTTTATACGTAAATAAATGGAGGGGCTGTGGGCGTGGCCTAGGTGGGCCGCCTCTGTTCAGCTGTCTCTCCTCCTTCTTTGTTAGGGGCCCGTGACTTTCTGGGTGGGGGAAGGGCCGAGAGCCACGTGTGAAAGGGGAGGTAAAGGAAAAGTTAGCAACAGCACCACAGAAGCCCTTGAGGCTGCAAGCCTGTGTAAGGACGGGTCAAGAAGCAGGGGTGGGCCACGGCCACCAAACCCAGGCCCCTCAGGTGCACGTGGCCGGTCAGAGAGCTGAGGGGGACGCGCCGGACGTGGTGGAAGAACCAGGGAAGGAGGTCAGGCAGGGCCTAGTGGGCTCCAAGTCCATTCAAAGACACTGTTTCTGGTTTGAAAATGACGTTGGAGGAGTGTGTCTAGCTGGGGTGTTCTGGGAAAAAAAAATAGATAACTGAGAAAGTTTTATACCTACTGCTTAAAAGTCTGTGGGGAGAAAGGAATACATGAATTATTGAAATCAGGCAGATGCCTGATCTCTCTAGTTGATGGTTTCCTTTGTTAGGCTGCTGGATTCTGAGTTTTGTCCTTTCCGTCTCCTCCTAGGCCATTGGGTGCTGGAACCAATATGCTTGGTTTCTTATGCCAAGTGCCACAAATCCCAAGAATCTCAATCTGTGTCGTACTGGGTTTGGAGTGGCCCCAGTGCCACTGAGGAGACTCGCCTTTATGCCATCGTGGGTTCACGAACCCGTAAGAGGCAGAAATTATTAATCTCAGTGGTTCCTAGGAGCTTCAGATCTGCGCCTCACACAGCTACCACTTTATTTCAGGCCTTCCTCACCTCTCCCCTCAGTCATTGGAGCACCCTCCCAATTGCTTTGCCAGCCCCATGTCTCTTCTCCACTGTAGTGTGTCCTTCACATGACTGTCAGCGGTGATTTTTTCCTGAAGCATAGATCTGGCCAAGTCACAATCCTACTGGAAAAAACTCTAGTCCACTAGGATAAAATATAAACTCCTTTGTTTGGCTTTTAGAGTCCTATCACAACCTGGCCCTTAACTTTTTAACTTCCGCTTCATTGTATGTTATTACTTCCTGTCTCCATACTCTGTGATCCATCCAAATTGTTCTCCACTTTGGTCTTCACAAGGCATTCTATTCCCCATTTGTGATAGGCCCTGACTTCCCCTATTGCCTTCTCACCACTGCTTCAAAGAATCCTTCTTTTCCTTCCGATTCAGTCAGGCACCAGCCTCCCTGTGTCTTTCCATGTCCCCTGCCTCCCATTTGCTGGTATCCTCCCTTCCTAGCTACCTTCTATTTATATTATATTATCTTTCTTTTTTTTTAAAGGCATTTGGGGTTAAGTGACTTGCCCAGGGTCACACAACTAGTGTCAAGTGTTGGTCTGAGGCCGGATTTGAACTCAGGTACTCCTGACTTCAGGGCCAGTGCTCTATCCACTGCTCCACCTAGCTGCCCCTATATTTTCTTTTTACAATTATTCTGTATATACGTACTTACATATGTACTTATATATTTTGTTAGAATATAAGCTCTTTGAGAGTAGGGATTGTTGCATTCTTTGTGTTCATCTCTTTGCTGCCTAGTACAATGGTTGGCATTTTAGTAAGGGCTTAGTCCACACTTGTTTTGTTGACCTAGGTCTGGAGTCCAAGCCTGGTTCTATACCATCTTCCAATGGCATGACTCAGGGCTGGGATATACTTAACAGTTAGAACTACTCTACATGATGAAATACTTTGGGGTCCACCTGGTCTGTTCTCACAGTCTTTGGGACTGAGCTGGAATTCTAATAGTAGAAGCTTGGTTGAAAAGTCACTGGCTTAGGAGTCTCTGACTGACTTTAGTCCTAACTTTGCCACTAATAAAGCTGTGTCACTTTGGGCAGGATCGTTTTAATTTCTGAAGGTCTTACTGTCTTCATCTGTATGATGAGGTTGTTGGATTAGACGCTATAGAGTAAAAGCTGACAAGTTTCTATGGTGGGCTTCAAGTTTCCTGAAGCACCTTATATTACGGTATGTGATTTTGATAGCAGTTCTGAGGTGAGGACTATTTTACTCCATTTTACAGAGAGACACTGAGACTCAGAGAAGCTGGTAGCAATCAAACCCAGATCTTTCTTGGCTCCAGCTTAGAGGCAGCTGGGTGGTGCAGTGGATAGAACTGGACCAGGAGTCAGGAAGGGTGAGTTCAAATCAGACGCTTACTAGCTATGTGACCTTGGGCAAGTCACTTAAATCTTTGTTTGCCTTAGTTTCTTTATCTGTAGAATGGGGATAATAATAGTACCTCTCTCCCTGGATTGTTTTGAGGATCAGAAGAGATAATATTTGTAAAATGCTTAGCACGATGCCTGGCATATAGTAGGTATTCTATAAATGCTTGCTATTATTATTGTTATTACTTTTAACTAGAGTGCGGTTTTTAAGATACCACGCTGTCTGTCTTGAGGGCCCACCTAATTATAAAACTCTTTATTTCTGGGTTACAGATATAATGTCATTTGTAGGGCCCTTTGATTGCTTGAACTCAACTTGCTGTTAGAGTTCTTTTCACTCTCTCTTCATTTCATTCTCCTTCTATAGTCTAAAATAAAGGAATTTCTTCTCTCTTGGAGAGAGAAGAGAGGATGAAGAAGGAGGCATCTCTAACTTTAATTGCCTGTGGTGGGTTGGAAAGAACATTATGCAATCAGTGCCTTTTCTGTTACATAAGGGAGAAGAGCACTTTTTTTGGTTGTTTATTGTGATTTGCAGAGGGACTTTTGTCTGTCAAAATGAAACTTGTTAACCTATTTGAGTTTCTCAGAATGGACTTTATCTTCTTTCTTCAGTTCCTCTTGTGAATAGGGCCAAGGATGATGACAAGAAAGGACCTGATTTCCTGAAAATCACTGAAGGCCCTATGTGAAAAATTTATTTTCACTCCTTTCCTTTCACTTTCCTGTTCCCATTTTTCTCTTGGCTGACTCTTCACAGGTTGGCTGCCATCCAGCTCATTGTAATAGTAAGAATAGGTTTCACATCCTTGTCCGCTGGCAGCTCAGATGTCTAAAAGACAGGAACAAGTTTCTCCTTTGCTGACCTTGCATATGTTCTCTTAGTTTACATTTTCTGCCTTGGGTTTGGAAACCATCTTTGGTCCTTGGACAGTTGGCTTACTCTGGGAGAGACAGGATTCCAAAGGGCAGCTATGACCAGACACTAACAGTGATGTGCGCACATCTAGATCTGGTGCCTTTGGAAGATCAGGCAGTCTTATTTGAAAAGATAACATGTCCATATGTGCTGTGACTCCCCAACTGGAACATGAGTTCCTTGAGAATAGGGACTTGTCTTTTCTATTTGTATCCCTACTGTTTAGCATGGTGGTTTGTACACTCTAAGAGCTTAATAAATGCTTTAAAAATTCATTTAAGATGTATAGTCATTAAACGTGGGGTAGTTGACAGGGAGGGCTGGCCTTGGAATTGGAAGTCCTGGATTCAAGTATTGTCACACACACACACACACACACACACGCCCCTTTCGTGTAACTATGAGTAAGTCAGCTCAGTGCCTCCAGGGAATTCTTTAAGATTGTAAGTTACTGATGTCTTTCTATACCTGAGGAGGAAGGTGCACGGTGGATAGCATGCTAGGCCTGGAATCAGGAAGATCTGAGTTTAGATCTGGCCTCAGACACTTACTAGCTAGGTAACCTTGAGTGAGTCACTTAACCTCAGTTTGCCTCAGTTTCCTCAGCTGTAAAATGAGGATAATAATAGCACCTACCTACTAGGGTTGTGTAAGGATCAAATGAGATAATAATTGTAAAATACTCAGCACAGTTTAAGTACTACATAGATGTTAGCTATTATTATTATACCTTTTTAAAAATTGAATTTACTTTTTTCAGTTAATCATAATCTTCCTTCTGTGTCCTCCCTTCCTTTCCATTGAAAAAGAAAGAAAAACAAAGCCTCAGTAATGAATATATATTGTCAAGCAAAATAAATCCCTGCATTTTCCACGTCTTAAAAAGAAATGGCTTAATCTGTCCTCCGAGTCTATCACCTTTGTCAGAAGATGGGCAGCCTTTTTCGTCATGAATTCTTTGGAATCGTGGTTGCACATTGTGTTGATCAGAGATCCTATGTTTTTAAAAGTTGATTGTTTTTTACAGTGTTATTTTATAAGTCAGTGAGCCCAGTTCTTTTCACTTCACTCTGCATCAGATCATACATGTTTTCCTAGGTTTCTCTGTCCTCCTAAGGATGGAGTTTTTAGACTGAAGGAAATCACAGATTAATTAAAAACAAATGATCTTTTAAGGAGAAAGCTGTGCTCACCAAACTCAAAGTGCCTCTTATGTGCTAGGCACTGGGCTAAGTATTGAGGATGCAGAGACAAAGATGAAACAATCTCTGCCCTCACAGACCTTGCATTCTGTCAGGGAAAACAATATGTTCGTAAACATAGGCAGAATAAGTACTGGGTGATGTAAGAAATGATGAAAGGGCTGGTTTCAGAGAAACTTGTTAAGACTTCTATGAACTGAAGCAGAGTGAAGTGAGGAGAACCAGGGGGGCAATTTATACGAGCCCATTCTATTATAAATAGAATTAACTTTGAAAGTCTTAGAAACACAGTGACCAATGAAACAGATCGCCCATGATGGAAGAGTGATGGCCTTAATGCAGATTGAGATATATTTTATTTTGGAAATGACTGATACAGGAGTTTGTCCATATGGATCATACATGTTTATAATGGGATTTTTTTCCTCTTGCTTTCTCAAGGTTTGTAAGGAGTAGGGGAGGCAGGAGGAAGTGGGAGAAAGAAGGTAGATCATCCAAAAAAAAATTAATTACAAAAATACATTTGGGATGTGGCAGGAAATGGCAGTACTACTCCCAGTGTGGAAAACTCCTTCAGAAACAGAACGGGAAAACACATACAAGGGAAATTTTGGGGAGAGGCATCGAGGTGGTACATTAGATAGAGTGCCAGGTCTGGAGTCAGAAAGACCTGCATTCAAACCCAGCCTCAGACACTAGCTGTGTGACCCTGGGCAGTTCACTTAACCTCTGTTTACCTCTGTTTCCTCAACAGTAAAATGGGGATAACAATAGCACTCACTTCCCAGAGTGGTTGTGAGGATCAAATGAGAATAATGGTCAAGTGCTTAGCATAGTGTGTGGCACATAGAAGACACTGTATAAATGTTAGCTGTCATCATCATCACCATCATCATTAGAACAGCTTGGGGAGGTTAGAAAAGACTTCATGTAGAAGGCGTTGCTTGAGCAGAGTTTTAAATCGATTTTAAGAAGTAGAGATGAGATCAGAGTACAGATGTGGAGTCACTGGTTTACTAAAAGCTTTAATAAGATCAGAGTCTGGGAGTCACATTAACATTCAGTAAGACATGTTAGGTGAGAGGGATTTAGGCTGATCCAAAAGAATGTGTATCAGCATAGTTTATGGTACTGTGCTGGGAAAGCTAGAGATGTAAAATTTCTGACACTTGAAAAGGAAAAACTTTGACTTTTAAAAACATTTAACAGAAAAAGAAACTGGGGAAAATTGAAATACATATACTTTTAAATCATTTTTTTGATTTAAAGTTACTGTTTCTGAGCATACAGATATATCATATGTTGCATAGTTAGACATGTAGAAGCTTGGGGGTCATGAGAGGACGGATTTCTCTCTAAGGCCTTCATGTCTCTAGGTGACATGGGAGTCACTTAGAATAGCATGGATGAAGTGCAAGAGTTTCAACCTTTTTTGGCCTTTATACCACTTGGTTTTAAGTAAATCTTCCCATATTCCCCATTCAGTATGAAAGGAAATAAATTCTTGACTTTACTATGCATTTTGCACAAGAAATAAAATAGATTAACTTTTCATAAAGCAAAATTTATTCGATATATCATACTTTTTTTTAGTATCATAAAGTTGTTAAATGTTTATCAGTATACAAGCAAAGAAATTAAATGTGATCATTGATTTTGCTTCTTGTTGACCGATAGTTTCAATCTCAGTGTAATTTTTGAAAGAGATATCTGCGTGTCATGTTCTACTTTAAGGTTTTCTTACTTTGGATTTTATTGAGAATAGGACTGAGAATCTTAATTCACAGGGAATGGAATTAAAGCTTTGTGAACATGTTGTAAGGATGGGGATATATTTCTCCAAGAGCACACCAGAAGTTTTGCAACTTCATTGACTGGATATTAATTTGGAGTTTCTGGTTATTTCATAGACTAGTCAGCTTGCTTTTCACTGGGTTATCACTGATTTATTTTTCTAATTTGATATGAAAAGCCAGATTTCATTCATTTGGGTTTGGTCAGTAGGAATTAGTGCTTCAACTGTCTCTTTCAAATTTTTCAGATGTACCACAACACTCTTTCTTTTCCTACCCATTTCTCAAGGTTCTCTCTCCAATCCACAAATTGTTTTTCTCTAACATTACTGATTTTGGAATATCTCCATAGGGTAATATAGTTCATTTACCCAGAATCCCATGACAAATAACTTGTACCCACTTGGGTGCAGTGTACCCCAGATTGAGAACCCCAGGATTTACTCAAAATACTATCCAGAATCCCTTGATAAGTGTCTTGTACCCCACTGAGTGCATGTACCCCAGGTTGAGAATCTCTAGCCTAGTAGGTCACAGTCTCTCAGATGTTCTGAACCCTAGCTCTGTCGGTCATTAAAGACTTTTGCTACCGTATGGTGCTTTCTGGTAGTATGGTCCTCAAGTGTACTCAGTAAAATAACTATTCTTTGAAATGGATTTAAGTAGTAAATACCTGATGTGACTTTTTGCTTTCAGGCCTGTATTTTCTTGTAGCATCATCTGCCAGTGACAATCTTTAACTATAGACAGAACCATTTAGGAGGTCCAACAAATCTCTGAAAGAATGTCAAGTTAGGTAACCCTCTATTTAAAATGACTTAAATATCACTCACTTAAAAACAACACAAGATCAGGAATTACAGTACTAGAGTTTCTGTTGCTAAACAGATTTTTTTTTTTAAAGTAGCCAGTCAATTTTTTTGTGATTGGTGATTATTTTTTTTTAGAAGAATTAAGCACTAGAAACAGTTGGGGCTTGACTTTTCTCTGTATATGTGGGAGGGCTTCATCCTGGTTAAACCTTGCCAACCACATGCAGAGTATGTGTCTTCAGTTGTTGACAGGAGATGTTTAAGACCTATTGAAAACAGAGGCGAGAATGAAAATGTAACGGTCTGAACTTTGTCTCTCATCTAGGCTCTGATTTGTCACAGAGTAATTCGCTTGACTATGGGTCTGCGGCCCCAGATTGGAGGGAAAGGTCAGGATTAAAGTTTTCTTGCTACCAAGTAATCATAATGGGTTACTTGAATTGTCCCAGTTTGCAAATGAGTTTTGAAAATTCGCTAGCCATTTTATAAAGTCTGGGCTTTGCTTCAGAAAGGTATTCAATTTCTGCTTTTTAATGTCGTAACTGAATTCACAGAAATGGGAACAAACATTAATCACCTAATTCTGAATCTGTTTAAGGACGAGTTGGGGGTTTGCTGGCAGTGTGTGTTGATTGGGAGGTTTGGCCATACTCCAGTCAGTTGGCCAGTGTGCTGAGAGTACAAAGCTCTAAGCCTCCCTGTTGTGTCGGAATGAGAAAGCTCATACCAAGTGACCCCTGAGATCATTCTTAAAGAACAAACTAACCCAGGGTAGCTCCAGACTGAGGGTGGGCCACATGTAGTTTTATCACAGTGAAGCCTGGAGCAAGTGCTCCTAGTGGTTTCCTGGAGAGGGTTCCCCTATAAGTCATAGCAAACTTACCTTGTCCTTCTAATTGTTTTCAGTACAACCTTCATGGTTGGGGTATCTGAATTCAGACATACTTGTTCCTTGGTATCCTTCACTATGCCTCTGTAGTGAATAAACCATAGTGAAGAATTTTTAGAATTTTATCAGTGATAATGGAGGAGTAATGGGACTCCTTGAACACTAGGCTTTGTTGGGCACTGCCCTGAAAAATCCGAGGTCAGCCTCTGCCCCCTACTTCATTGAGTGATCTTCAACGAGTCCCTAAACTGGCCTCTGCTGCAGTGTCTTCGTTTGTAAGATAGGACGACAATATTGACTTGAATCATAAAGCATGCTGCAGGTAGGCAAGATTGTCATTCAAAGAATCCATCTCCTTAGCCTTCCTCAGTATGATCTTTCCTTTCAGACCTTAGATTTCTCTCTTCATAAAAACAAACAGTGACAAGGACTTGGAAAAGCGCAGGGTAGTATTATTCCTGTAGATATGGAGAGAAATCTTTCTGCTCCCCCTCCCCCCCATAACTTCTATAGCAGGTTTATTTGTGCCCTGTCAGAACAGGTCACATTTCACTTTATTAAGGCCCCTTTCCTACTGAAAATGGTCATTGTACCTTGTGTTTTTCAGCTAGAAAAAAAAAGTATGATAAAATGGACATTCATTTCAGAGAAAAAGCAAATTTTACTAAGAAAGTAGTAAATTTTTAAAACTTTTTTTTATTTTTTAACATGTGTTTTTAAAACTTTGGGTTACAAATTTTCTCCTTCCCTCCCTACCCACCTTCATTGAAAAGGTAAGCATCTCGATACAGGTTATAGATGTGTAGTCATGCAAAACACTTCCATAGTATAAGAAAGTAATAAATTTAAAAAAAATAACTTTTTCATTTACATATTTTGGTGGCTTTGTTAGGACAGGTTTATTCACATTGTAGCCATTGTCAAAAGTTTGAGCCATATTGCTTTCCCTTTTCCTTATAGAAGGTTCAAAATCATCAAAAATGGACCTTCATCAATCTTTCTGATTATTTAGTGAAACATTTGATTCAATCCACATCTCTGGGGAATAAACCTATTTACTATAAGGTATGTTTTCTAGGGGCAAAATGGTGGGGTGTAACAAGTGGTGGACCTGGAGTCAGGAAAATCTGGGTTCAAATTATACCGTGACTGTGACGGCCACATTAGCCTCCCTCTGTCTTCGATTCCTCATTTATACAAATGAGGTGATATGTGCCTCGGTAGTACTTACCTCACAATTTTGTTGTGAGGAATGATCAAGTGACATAAAGTAAATAATGTGCTTTGCAAACCTTAAAGTTCTCCATAACGGTAATGATAGCTAGCATTTATATCTGGTATCCAAATGAATACTAGTTATTGCTTTTACTTACACGATCTCAGGGCGTGGACATAGAGAACTGGGGAGAATCACATCAAGTTTCTCAAAAGGTTTTAGGCTGGAGATACTCTTATTAACTTGTGGGCAGCGACAGCTGGTGGTTGTGGGTGGTGAGGGTGCTGTGGAAAAGAGACAGGGAGGGCAGGTGAATACACTACCCAGGTTAAAGAGTTCAGTCATTGTGAATCTACCATCAAGCCCTCTCCCCCACCACCATGCCAGAACCCCAATTCCTGCCCCAGAAATATTCAAGAAAAAAACCTCTGAAGGCGCTACCTTCCAGAAGAAGTAGCCGTAAAACCATAGGGTTCTAGTTCATTGGAATGTAGATGTAGGGCTGGAACGGACCCTAATGGTCCTCAGATTGTTTCAGACAGGGAGCTGGTGAATAGAAATGGCCAGGTAAAAGGGTCTCATTCTCTTCAAATTCTAGTTTGAACAATAACTTCCCTTCTAGTGCAGCTTACTTCATACCCTGGCCTTGGGTCAGTTGAACTTAACTCCTGCCCTGGAGCTGATTCTGTCTGGAACCTGATTTGGGTCTGTGATCACTCTTTCTGGGTCCTCTGCTTTTGTTAATCATATCTATGTCCTTGCTCTTTACCTAAGTCTTTGTCATGACCCTGTTGTCTTAACTGTTTTTCTGGACCTGGCTTCTGCCCAGTGACAAAACCTCAGCCTGGCTTAGGTTCTTTTCTCTGCTTTTCTGACCGTGTCTCTAAGTCCCATTTTAGTCATGACCTCCCTAAAAATATTGCCTGTTTGATTTCTGACTCTGATTTGAAATCACAAAATCACTTTTTTTTGTCCCTTCACAAAAGTTTAAGTTTTAAGGATCAAGTTTAAAAGGTACTAAGTTCCTAATAAATGGTAATCATTTGAGGCTAGCAAAGGATTTGGGCTGATTAAATTACATCTCATTACCGAAAGCATTTGGGTTTGACTAAGGATGTCTTTCTGTTGTACTTTGACAATTCATTCAAACTTTAAACTGTGACAAGGGAACTGGAAGACATCATGCCTTGTCTGCATCTACAGTAATACTGATAATTTAGTACTCAGTACCCTCTGTGACTTAAAAAATGAATACATCTCTGTGTTCCTTACCTTGAGCCCTAGTCAAAGCTAGCAGGGTGTTGCAGAGGAGGAAGATAACACTTCGGTTCATGGTAACAAGGTTGGATGAGGTACAGTGTTCTTGGGGTGTCTCAGAGAGACTGAAGAATTTCTCAGTGATCTTGCTGCCGTGACTCAGTATTTATTTGCTAAGGTTGTTTTCCCTCCTTAGTTCTGATTAGTCCGTGTTACAGTTAACTCAGCAAAATGAACCATACAATGGTCTGTCACTGGGGAAGGTCTCAGGTTACAGAACAGCAGGTATTATTTTTATTAGCTACTTCTTATTCATGAAAATTCTCATTTTACCCCCAAAAGAATAAATTTTGTTTCACTCTCTCAGAATCTAGAAACTACTATATGCAGAAATAGGGTAAGGATTATAATTTTTATCCTTATCTCAAACTGTTTTCACAAAAGAGAAATCAATCAACCATTTATTAAGTGCCAGCTGTGTGCCATGCACAGTGCAAGGTGCTGGGAATACAGATACAAAGAGTGAAAACTCCCTGCTTGCAAAGCATTTATATCCTAGTGGGAGAGGCAAGAAGTACATTATGATGTATATGTATATAATATAAAGCATACACCTAAAATTAGTAAACACAGATATAAACAAGATAATTAAGGTAGTTTGGAAGAGAGGACTCTAGTGGTTGCTGGGGTCAGGAAAGTACTTTTTTTTTTTCGTCCTAGAAGCAATAGGAAGCCACCATAGTTTAATAAGGGAGTCATGTGGTCAGATCTGTGGTTAAGAAAAATTACTTTGGTGGCAGTGTGTGGGATGGAGTAGAGGGTAGAATGAGAGGCTTGAGGCAGGGATAGCAGATTAATTCTTAAGTTAAAGTCCTTAATAATTTATTCCTTCCCTGGATCCATAATCTCATTAATGTTGGTACCTTTTTTGATGCTACAGCAAAAATGATCATTTATTATATGCCAGGCACTAAGGATATAAAGACAAATCAGAACTAGGCATAGACCAAAATCTCGCACCATATACAAAATAAAGTCAAAATGAGTTCACGATTTAGATATAAAGGCTGATACTATAAGCAAACAGGGATAGCAAGGAATAGTTTACCTGTCAGATCTATGGAGAACAGAAGAATTCATGACCAAACAGGAGATAGAAAACATTATGGAAAGCAAAATAGACAAATAAGCCCCTTCCCTCATGTACCTTACATTCTACAACTACATAGAGAAGTAAACGTGTATGTGTGTGGGGGGGAACAACTTAATTTTGGGCAGAAGGGTTTTAAGAGATTTTTAAGTATTTTAAGGAAGGAAGGAAAGCATTTTGGGGTACAACTTACATCCCTCCAGGTGTCACAGAAGCAGGAGATAGCATTTTGAACATAGCAAATAGACTGATTTAGTTTGAATGACATGATTGAATTAACATGACAGGCAGATTTTAAGTAATCCCTGCTATCTTGTGTTGTACAGTTCTTGTTCATGTTGTCCCACAAGTCTGTTAATGATAAATATATTTTCTAAATTTTCAAGCGCAAATCTTTATTTCTCTTTTACTTGAATTGAGCTTAAGCATAGCATACAAATTAGGTTTTTCTTGAGAAAACATTCTTCCTGTGGCATTTTTCTTTTCTTTTTTCTTTTACTTTTTAAAAAATTAATTCATTATAAACTTAAAACAAAATAAGAAAAGGAAAAAAAGTATCGCCATATGCACAGCGGAACATATGAGAGGATTCAAAATATACAGCAGTGAAATTCCGTTTCAGGAAAGCTTATATAATAAATATTACACATTGTGTTGAGAGCTGTCCATCTTTTCTTTGCTTCTTTGTAAGTTTGCCTTTGTTCTCTGCTGTGCACTCTTTACTTTGTTCTTTTTTACCCCTTCCTCTCCCTCCTCCCTTAAGAAGGCTACAGTTAGGTGTAGATATATTTTTATACTTTGATATACACACACACATATACACCTACATACATACACTCACATATACATACATATACTTAGATATCTATAATCATACTCATATGTAGACATACACATTCATATACGTCTGTGTAAGACTGTACTTTACATGTTTGTTCTCTGTTTTTTCTGAGGGTGGATAACATCTTTCTTGCTAAGTTCAAGTCTTTCCCTATTTCTAAGTCTACCACCTCATCACTTCCTACACCATAGCAATATTCCAACCTTATGCTGTCTAGTTATTCTAAATAGTCTAAAACAATATTGATGAATATGGCTGACATATAGTGTAGTTTCCCTATATTTCTCTTTTGATTGTCTATTTTAGCTTTAGCTTTGTCTAAGATCATGATTACTACACCTGCTTTTTTTCCTAATAAATTCTACTCCTGATATTTATTTTATATTTGTGTGTATCCCTTATTTCCTATCCCTCCTGACTTCTCTACTTTATTTCTACCCCTACCTTGCCCTCCTGTTACTTAAGCAACCCCTCCTCCAAAGATCCCTCCTTCTCCCCTACCCTTTTTCCTTATCCTCTTGTTTCCATTTAAATTTAGAAGACTTTTATAGCCTTCCAAATATGTTATTCTCTCTTTATCTCATTCCTGTTAATCTAGACACCCTTCTATAGCCCCCCCTTATCCTATTCCATCACCCTCTTTCCCTCTGTTATCTTCTCCCCCCTCCCTATACCTTTAGCCTTTTCTTTCTTTCTGAATTTAGATTTATACTCTCCTAGATATATATGTACTGTTCCCTCTTTAACCCATTCCCAATGATAGTATGGTTCCAGAACTACCAGCCCTCCTCTCCTATCTAATTTCTCTGTGTCAGTTCTTCTCGAACCTCAGCTGTATAAGATAATTACTGTTTTTAACTTTTCCTAGACAGTATTACTTTTTAGAATCACGAATCTACCCTGATCTTTCTTTTGAATTACCCAATTACTAATAACAGTCTTAGACGTACATTTTACATTTCCTCATATAAAAAGTAAACAATTTGTTCTTACTGAGTCCCTTGTAATCACTCTTTGATGTTTACCTTATATTTCTCTTGGATATTGTATGTCAAATATTCTATTGAGTTTTTTGATTGTCTATTTTAGTTGCAATAAAATCCTGAAAGTCTGGCACTTCGTTGAATGTCCATGTTTGTTTTTGTTTTTGTTTTTGTTTTGTTCAGGATTATGCTTAACTTTGCTGGCTATGATATTTTTGGCTGCAATCCCTGTTCTTTTGCTCTTTGACATATAGTGTTTCAATACCTGTGGTCTTTTAGTGTAGCTGCTTCTAGGTCTTGTGTGATTCTAATTGTTGCTCTGCCATATTTGAATTTTTTTTCTTTTCACCCATAATATTTTCTCCTTGAGCTGGAGGTTTTAGAATTTAGCTATGATATTCCTGTAGGTTTTCCTTGTAGGCTCTCTTTCAGGTAGTCATCAGTGGATTTTTTCCATTTCTACTTTGCCCTCTTGTTCTAACACTTCAGGACAATTTTCTGTAATTATTTTTTGCATTATTGTATCAAGAGTCTTTTGTTTTTGATTGTAGCTTTCAGGTAGTCTGATTGTTCTTGATCTGTTCTCCAGATCAGTTGTTTTTCTTATGAGATGTTTCACATTCTCTTCCATTTGTTTATTCTTCATATTTTGTTTTATTGTTTCTTAGTCTCTTAAACCTTCGCTTGCTTCCCCTTGCTCAATTCCAGTTTTCAAGGAGCTGTTTTCTTCCTCAAGATTTTGGATCTCCTTTTCCTGTTGGTTAACGTTCTTGTTTTTCTTGGATTTTTTTTTTCCCTCAGTCTCTCTCATTTGATTTCTAAAGTCTCTTTTTAAGCTCTTATATGAATTCCTTTTGGGCTGGTGACTATTTGACTGTACTCTTTGGGGTAGGAGAGGCTTTTTTTGCTTCAGTATCTTCCTCTGAAGATGAACCCTGGCCTTCTCTATTCCCATAGTAACTTTCTATGGTTGAGTTCTTTCTCTTTTGCCTGCTTATCTTTTTCTTTTTTTAAAATGTTTAGCAGGCCATTATTGTAATGACCTTTCTTCTTGGGGTGTGGGGGATGGTGCTTCTGGCCTCAGATCCTCCTTTAGCTCTCCCCTCTGGCCTGCCCTCCTGTAGGTGTCCTTGTCCCACTGTTTCTCCATTCACCAGGCACGCGCTGGTTCCTTCTCGCCCAGGGCCAGGTTTCGGCAGCACAGCTGGGCCTGGCGTCCCCTATCAGCAGAGGTTCCCTCGATCTTCCCCGGCTCATACACCCAACTCCCCTCACTGTCCTGGTGGTAAAAGTTCCCGTGACTGGGGCTGAGGCCGCCTCCCAACCCAGATAGCCCCAGGGCTCCGACTTCCTATTTTAGGGGAACTAGCCTGGACGTGTTTGTACTTCACGGGGACCAAACCTGGGACCAAATCTCCATCCTTCTCTGTTGTCCCGGGAGGACTACTGTTCTGCCTCAACTTTTGTTCATTTTTACCACTCTGTGTTTGTCCTGAGGAGCTCGCTTGTCTTGTTTGTGGGGAAAATCCTGGAGAGCTTGGAGTTTTCTTTCCTACTCTACCATGTTCCCAGAATCCTCTGTGTCTATTGATGATAAATGCTAACTAGGTACCACTGTAGCATAAAGATTTCCCATCTCTTGTCCCTGGTTCTTGCTTTGTATGACTGATTCTGCTTTTTCCTTTTGGCCTTGGTGAGGGAAAAGGGCCGCATTGTCATCAGAGAAAGGAGTGAAGGTAAATTAGGTCAAATCAACAAGCATTTATCACTATGTGCCGGGCGATTTGCTTAGTGCTGGGGATACAAAGAATGGCAAAAATACCCCCCCCCCCAACAAAACCCAGCCCCTGCTTTCATGGAGCTCACAGTTTAACAGAGGGTACAACATGCAAACAGCTTTGTGCAAACAAGATACATAACATGAAGTTAGAGATAATTTCAGTAGGAAATCTAAGATAAAGGAGGACTAGGAAAGGCTTTTTGCAGAAGGTGGTACTTTAGTTGAGACTTGAAGGAAATCAGGGAAGCCAGGAGGCAGAGATGAGGATGGAGAGCTCCAGGAAAGATGGTCCAGGGTTTGAGATACGGGAAAGAGTGGAGTACATGACACATGTCTTCTG